TTATTGACCTACTAAAAATACACTGCAGATTTATGGCTCATTCCAGTTTTGACATTTTTCACATTTCAAAGGGGCCAAGTCTAAGACAAAAGACTCTGAAAAACACCTGCTAGGACAGACATTAAAACTAATTTTTGAAGGGAATTCCAAAATCTGAAATGGAATCATTTAGCTGAAGCTGGAGGCAAACAAACTTTAAAACGTACCTGAAATTAGCAGGAAACCAATCTGCACATGTGGTGCTAATAAAATTTAAAAAATAGCTTTAGAAGGTTAATTTGAATGTTATAAACATCCCACAGGTTGACCCAGATTTAGAAACGAGCCATAAACACGTGCAAGAAATGACATTAAATGTCACATGGAGTATTTTTGGTATGTCTGCTGCTCCTTGAGGTGAAAGGGGAGGGCTTGGTTTTAAATCTTCAGCCCCTGCTTGTGTCAAACACAAATATACCGACTCTATAGGCTTATCTGAGACAGAAATATGCTGAGATTTTAATTACAGTGCAAAGAAATGCCGCTGGGATGTGGAGCAGACAGTGGTGTGCTGGTGGCCCCACCCTGAATGTCATGGAGGACCACAGAAATATATACAGACTGATGAAACACAACTACAACAGAGAAAGCATCTAGGGGGGCAAATGTTTAGAGAGCTTTATTTCTAGACTTAAGCAGATTAAAATGATATCACTGATTGAAATACCTTTTAATGTCCAACTTCTGCCAAACTCAACCTTTCATTGGAGTTAAGGAAATATAATAATAAGTTCAAGATGATATTATGAAGGATAAAAGGAAGAAACTGTCACAAAAAGAAATTACTATTGTCCTCAGTTCAGAGGGATCCTGTGTATATTGTTTTCATGGCTTGTTTAGATTTTTTAAATGCTGCAGATAAAAAAAAATAAGTGTAGGTAAACATTTGGGTTCAATTTAATGATTTTGTTTCATTCATCCTTTAAACTTATAGTTTATGTATGTGTATGTTTAGATATGTGACAAAACAACAGCTGGTTGTTATACTGTAAAGCCATGCCCATGCATACAGGTCAACATAGAGGTTATATGCAGCAGAAGCTCTGAATGAGATGGTATGGAGCAGAGGTCTTCAACAGGGGGTCCGCGACCCCTAGGGGGTCCACTGAGGTACTGCATGGGGGGCAGCGAGTTTTGGTTTATTAGTCTTTTTTTTTTATATTCCACCCTGCAATTTTTTTCCACTAATTGAAATGTCTTTAAATACACATCAACGTGAATTCAGCACACTCTAGTAAACAGATAAATGGAGGCAGAAGATGTCTTTCAGTCATCAATGCTCACATTCAGAGACACACAGGAGCTTTTTCAACCAGGAATCAGAATCAGAAATACTTTAATAATCCCAGGGAGACATTACTTTTGTTAGATTACTCCATATGTAATAGAGTGACTATAGGACCAGTTTGATATAACAAAAGTCCATACATTATATATAATTAGCGGGTCCCCGCTCCATCTTGCCATCAGTTTTGGGGTCCTTGGTCTGGAAAACGTTAAAGACTCCTGATATGGAGGAATCACAGGTGTCCACAGAAAATGGACACGTTAGGATAATATGTATGCGTTTTTGTTTTGAAAGTTTAGGGGAAGGGGGATGTCAAATAATAGCTGACATTAAAATAAATAGAAATTGACAATAAGTAAATAGAAATTATAAGAAGTGGATATCATGAAATTGCTCCTGATGGAGCTCCTGAACTAAAACTCTGTAGAGTAAAATTTAGAGGCAGCCAGTAATATCAGGTGTTTTCTGTAATGTTCAGCAAATGTTATTCACACTTCTGCACCTGTTGGCAGGGATGCTGGTTCATTGTTCATGAGGAAGGTGCTTTGATTTGTCTGGGATAGATTTTTAGAATTCATTTTCAAAATAATAATTTAAAATCAACATTTTATTTGACTAAATTATAATTTAGTAAATGGGTTTCAGTTTGGTGATATTTCAATTACTACTGTGAATTTATCATTTTCTTAATGGGAGGATATATAAGATGTCAAGTACAACTGTAAGTTTATTAGATGAGTGCTTTCTTTGCTTTGCTAGGTGTGACAATGATTGCACAGTTGCCTGCTCAGTGACAAAGAGCTTTTTAGCATTAGCATGGAGTGAATAACACAGACGCGCTGTATAAGAAGGGCCAGAGACGCGTCCATCTCCTGAGGAGGATGAGGTTGTTTGGAGTGAGCAGGGTCCTGCTTAAAAGCTTCTACGACTCTGTGGTGGCATCAGCACTCCTCTACACTGTTGTTGCAACAAACTGTGAGAAAGGCCATTTCTGTACTGCACTTTGGACTTAATGGAGGAGGTGGCTGAGAGGAGGGTGCTGTCCAAGCTTACAGTACATCCATCATGGACAACACCTTCCACCCTCTGCCCAGACTGTAGAGGAGCTGAGCAGCTCCTTTAGAAAAAGACTTTTACACCCTGTTTGTAAAAAGGAGCGCTACTGCAGGTCATTCATCCCTGCTGCAACCATACTCTACAATGTGACACTACAACGGTAATAACTTGTATGATGTGGTGCAATGTATGATGTGGAATTACTATTTTACACCCTGTGCAATAACCTGTTTATCTATATTTAACACCCACTGCTTTAACTATATATAACTGATGTTGCTGTTATTTTCAAATATCCATTATTGTAAAAATGTCCATAGCTGTATATTGGTTATTTATTCTCCAGGTGCACCGTTTTATATTGTTAAAAAACTTTACAGTACAGTATTTTACTGTTTATTTTTTAACTCTACATTATTATGTTATTCTTATACATTTTTCTAAGGTCCACATTTGTGTGACCATTTTTAATAATCTTTCTGCTGCTGTTAATTTGCCCATTGTGGGACAATAAAGGGATTTTCTATTCTATTCTATAAAAAATGTATCTGTAAAATCTCTAATATTTAACAACAACAAATACTTAGTTAAGCAAATTGTGCAAAACAACAATAAAAAAATTTAAACCCCATCAGATTTATAGTCCCCACACTGCAGATATATAAGAATCTGTCCTTAAATCACAGCCAAACCCATTTACACAGTAACAGATTAAAACCTCCAAATTAATATTATATTAAACTGAACTTCCAATATTCACCACTGTTCGGCGCCAAGTACCATTTCCTCTGATCATAGAGCAGCCGGTTTGCTTGGTCTCGTAATGAATCCTGGGATACCCTAGGATAGATAGGATACATCGGATCCATCCTTCAAATCGGGCAAAAAGAAGGACGCATTTTAAGGCCGCATAACGAGGAGTCTTGGAATCCGACCAGGCCATGGCGCCGTGCTATGACGTAATCAATCTGTTTTAATTCATGGGATGCATCTGTCGAATCTGGCCTTTTGAAGGATACGTCCCATGAATTCAAACACATCAACTGACTCTCGTTAAAAGTTTTGTCAATGCGCAGTAGCTCCTCTGCAGAGAGCTCTGGGCGCAGCTCTGGTGCAACCTGAGGTGTCAGGAGGTGTATTTCTCACCACCTCTCGCCACAACGCAGAAGTTTTGCGGGTGATTGACGGATCGAGTCGCAGGGGTTTGAGACACATTGGAGAGAGAAAGAGATAAATGGTGAAAGAAATGTCCTTTTGCAGGACCTGGTTTATCAAAAAGGCTTTGCTAGCAGCATTTAGCTTTATTCTGCTTTCCCTGCCTCCTTTTTCAAACGTCAGGATCTGACCCAGCATGGATAAATACAGCTAGGACTGAACAAGAAGGAACAATGTGGGATTCACAGGGAAAACAATATACAGTAATATAGTGTTATTTTTCTAGATGTTTGTTAATCTGCATAGTTGCTCATAAATAAACACATGGTCAGAAAATAGTTTATATATATATATATATATATATATATATATATATAAAATAAGTATAAAGCTGACCAATAGCTTCTCCATTATTAAACTGCTACATTGTTTTTTTTTGGGTTTGTGACACAATATTGGACCATGCAAAACACAGATTTACCTTCAGAAAGCCTCAGAAGGGCAGCATGTAACCAGGCCAGGGTGGCTTGGTTACATTACTGACTCCTGTGCTGAAAAAATCTCCCAGTCCGGCTCTGGGGACAATATTAGCTCTTCTGTTACAATTCTAATAGAAACATTCTTAACATGTATTTTCTAAGTGAACCTGGACTGGCTGATGTCAACCCTAAGTAGACAATCGCTCATGTGAAAGTAAAAACACTTACTGTCAGAATAACCGGGACATCCATCCATATTCATGACAGACATAGTAACATAGAAGCTTTTTTTTAATAGTCTTCCTTGATTTCCTGAACTGAGTGCTTCTTTCTTCATGCTGATTGATTGGAATTAGTCCTCACTGTCTGACCTTAAGGAACAGCATCCATTCTTTTAACACTGGTTGGAAGTAGCAAATGGGTCTTCTAACATCATTACAGCTGCTGTAATTGATCTAAATTGTTTGATACAACAGTTTTAGTGAACTAACAACTTCATTAAAAAATGCATTTATTTTTTTTTTTGCATATATATTTTAGATATATTTTTCTTTAATTATTTTTGTTGCAGTTGACCTTTTGTTTCCCACCCCTCCATCTGCTCCAGACTTGGAATATAATCCAGATTAATGCTCACGAATCCCCCCGACTCACACCACAATACATCACACACACACAGACACAAAGCAGGTCCCAATCACAATAAGAGTGAGCTGACTGCTGTATTCTGAAACTGCATTAACACCCCCCCCACACACACACACATTGGTGATATCTGGGTCAGAGCTGCTGATTTCTGGATTGACATATCCGTTGTCTAAGTGACCTATTGTCCATCATCAAAGCCCCGGCATCATCAGCTGGGGAGTGATTTCCTCTGCGTGAGTGAGTGGATTAAATCATCAGGGATCAGCGGTGAAATGAGGAAAGCTATTGTCAGTTAAACTAAAGATGTTTGGCTATCATTATGTTCTGGTTCTGACCTCCAAAGCCCGGCCTCAGGGCGAAGTCGTGCTCTTCGATCCTCAGTAGCTGCTCACTTTTTATCAGCAGTGTCTTGGTGCTGTCTTGTCTCTTCAGCTTGTAATCGATGCGTCTGCAAATGCAAAGGTAAAGGTGTAATTGCGGGCTTCACAGATTGTGGTTTTCACATTTAATCCTCTCCTCACCTGCAGCTCTTTCTCTTTTTCTACTAAACCACAAACCTAATGGCAGGTGTGATACGGGTTTTATTCATCAACATTTGTGCAAACAAAAACTTTTGCTTTTCTAAGTTCTGTGACTTTTCTTGCTTTAAGGTACATTGTTGTAGTGTAGTTGAAATAAAACCAGGGAAACTTGAGGTAATAAAAAAGAAATGAATAAATTATACATGTTTTGGTCTCAGGCAAAACTGAATAAAACTGTTTTGCTTTTGACTTTCATACCTGTGGATATAAAGAGAGGACCTAAGCCTTATAATTACAGGATTAACTCTGTGTATTTAAGCTTTAATAACTTTAAACATGTGCAAGCATGCCGTGTAAAGGTGAACAAACAGTAATAAAAATGACAAAGCTTGATTTGCTGACAGATGAAACGGTTTGTTACTGCATAATGCAAGTGTTGTGGAAACGAGAAAACAGAAGGCAACCTCTCATTTGTGGATTTTTGTTTAGAAATAAACATGTTTTAACATGTGAATACAAACAAAAACACAAAGAGTGAAGTTAGAAGTTATGGTTTTTAAGACCCTATCCTTAATGCAAACATAAAGGAAAAAAATATTAATCTAGAAATGTTCTCAGTAAGTAAATTAATAGCATAAATTAATCAGGAATGAATTCCTCCTTTTGATTTAGGCCTTTTCACATAAGAAATAATGACTTCTAAAGTAACTAACAATCAATAAAATCAGAAGTGCCACCATTTTTTTTAGGTATTTGAGACCTTGTTTAAAAAAAGTCTGAGCTTTGATAAAAAAAAACAAGTGTAAGAAAAGTTCAAAAGCTGATAAATAAGAGGACAGACAGACAGAAAAAAAAAAGAGGAATCAAGCATAAAAACAATGGAAAATTCTGCAAAAACTTTACTGCATGATAGTTATCTCCAGGGGGAAAGTTTGTGTGTCCATTCAGCAAATAGAAGTTTACAAAAACAAACACCCCAAATACAAAACAAAAACACAGCATCATAATACTGTAAATAAGGGGGGTTGAATGTTAGGAGCTTCAAAACTATAAAATCTATAAGGACAATAAGCCAAAGTAGTGAAAATATAACAGGTTAAGTGTAATTGTGAATTAAAAGGTGATTAATGAGTTCTGAAAGGAGCAAGGATGTAATTTGCTTATAGTTAATAAAACCCCTTCAAAACAAAACTACCACGTTATTATATAGTTATTTTGCATAAATGTTTTTTTTTTTTTTCTTGAGTTGAATTTAACAGTAAAGTAGAAGCATGCTAAATGATTTTGGTCATTTAATCAGCTCCTTGGTATCCACCTTATTCATTTACTCTGCCAAGCATTAATTTTCTGCTGCCCTTTTGAGATAGTAATGTGAGTGGTTCTACTTGGAAAACATATAAACAGTCTTTAAAAGTATGCAGACTTTTTTTTACAGTTGCTTTTTTCCCCCAAAGTTGCTTGAAATCTCAAATAAGAAGACATTTAGAAACGTATGTTTGTTAAGATGATGCATTTTGTCCGGAAATTATGTTAGATTTCCAATTTGATTAAAAGCAGTTACTGTAGATGTGTTTCCATTGTTTTCCATATAATCCACCTTCTCCAGTCAATGTGACTAGGGTCAGAAGACAAGGAAAAACATGGATATCTGCAAAACAAGGCACTGTGACCGAATATAGACCTGAGTTACACCACTGAGTTGGAGATAACTAAGGAGTTACTGGGGATAAAAATAAGAATTAGCGAAACAGCTAAAACTAACTACTAATAACTAATTAAAAATTCAGCAGATAAACACATCCTTTTATATTTACACTTAACATTGTAAGCAAATTTACTGTAATAATAATATATATATGGGCAGAAACTTTTATCCATCAAAAATCCACTCCACCACCAGTTTCAGGCCTGGAGGGGAAACAGCCCTGTTCTTTACTTCTGTTCATGCATATCTATCAAAATTCAGCTCTATGTTTCCTGCTGAGGTCTGAGCACCAAAGACAAAGTGATTGTATTAATTTATTCTAATTGTCTTTTCTGTTCGTGTGAGTTTTTCAGATTGAATTTTAATTAACTGAGTTTGTTAATTTGACTAATTTGAAAGGTTTGAAACTCTTTTCAGTTCCTTTGAAATGCCTTTTATTATTGAAAAATCTATTTTACCGTCAGTTCTATCATTTTATTTCACTTCAAATATTCGATTTGTTTGAGTCGGACAACCTGGTCCTTAAGCAACAGAGTAATCAAACACAGATTCATGGATTCCCATTCCACATCATGCTTAACAAATTCATTCAGTTTCAAATGAGGTGAGTGCAAATTTAATAGAAAAATTAAAATTCTGTTTCTGATGGCAAAACTTTCTGCCCTTTTTGGACCTACTGCAGGTCCAAAAAAAAAAAACCCTGACTGGTTTTTCACATCTTATTTTATATAATCAAACAGCCTTAATGTGGCAACATTCTAGTTTTTCCCTGCGTGTCGCCTCTGCAGATGGAAATGTCCCTCATTAAATAGCATGAACTCAGTCAGGTCGGTTTGTTGCAATCTGAATTTTTAACTCCACTGGATTTTTGTCAGGAATATTGATGTGTTTGACTCACAGCAAAGAAGAACAGGGAGGGATTTAGGGTCATGGTTTTTGGTGGAGGCCCGTATTTCATACCACAATCAGATGAGGATCCTGATAATCAGACTGGAAGAGATGAGGGCAGCATAGCAGCGGCTTTTAACACTTCAATTCATCCGTGACAACAGGTGTAACACAACTCTCCACCTACAGCAGGAGCTACATAACCGCTCAGATTTCAGGTCTGTCTGACATCAGTGCTGTTTTAGTTCAAATATTAATCCACCGCGGCTCTGAAGGAGAGATTTCTCCAATGCCAACTAGTCTTTTTGGATATGAATTGAACCTGTTAGTATTTAAAATGTTCCTAATTTTCAGTTAGCTCCTCTCAAATTGTTTGAAAGTTTTAGGTTACTTTCTAAAATCCAAACAGCAGACTGGGCCTGCTAATTATTTTATGGCTGGAAGGCCTTTAGATGAGATAACTGTTTCTTTTAAATGCAAAATTATTTTTCTTTGTCTCGGATCAAATAAAAAACCGACACAGGTTAAAAGGGGGGCCATTTAACAAGCTGTCCAAACTCCTCTTTCCAGTTTGGATTTCCTGGAAAACACGACCTCAGAGTCTGAAGGCAAAGAATCCATGTTGCTGATTTAAGTTTCCACAGTCAGTGAAGACCTGTGCTTTCAGGCCATCTGCTGGTTCTGGTTCAGTGGGTTTTCTAAAGTCCGCTCTGCTTGGGGGACCATTTATCAGAACATTTCAGAACCCTTCACGCCTCATTAGAGATGAAGGGGACTAATAATTAAAGCAACCAGAGCTTCCAGAGCACCTCAGCAGAACCACAGGCTGATCAATGGCCTTCATGTCATCATGCATTGATGCAGTAATTTTTAAAAAAAAGGCCCCAAAGGTCCATTTATGCTGTTGATCTTAGACTTTAGAACTAAGCAGTAAAAAGTCTCTTAAACAGATGTTGGACATTTATAACAATAGGAAACGGACACAAACAGGACCTCTAACCTGTTTCCTGTTTTATGAAGCAGAACCATGAGCTATATAAATAGTGGAAATGAAACAAATGAACACATTAAAGGAGAACAAATTGAGGATAAAACAGGCAGAATAACTGTCTTTGAAACCTTTTGTTAAGAAAAACAAATTTCCCCAAACCTCTGGTGGAAGCACTGTGTAACAGATAAACATGAATAGTTTGGAGTGATTTTGCTCTGGTTCTGGTTCTGTGTTAATTTGTGCTTCTTTTGCTAGACTGCTTTTAAATCAGCTTTGAAAAGACCTAAATTCTCCATCAAGTTCTATTTGTTAATAATCACCAATCACTAATTGCTTTGTATAACACATCTGACCCCAATGAGGCGCTCAGACTGACCCTTTACAGTGTACAGGTTACACAGACAGAGGAGATGTTCTGTAGATACTTCTGTTCTAGACTCTGGCTACATCGCTGTCCGCTTGACTCAGTTAAAGTCAGCTGACATAAAACTAAAACTAAGACTAGAAACAAACACCTAAAACTAAGCAGTGGAAATAATAGCTACTATACAGGACTAGAAAAATGTAGTTACGGCTAAATAAAACTAAATTCGAATAAAAAAACAAAACTATTAAAACCTTACTAATAAAAAAAAAGCCGATTCATTTTATTTGATTAGACTTCAGGTTTTATTTTGGACTTGGATTTAATGCAGAGTTGGTTTTCTGCTTTACTCTCCTCCAACAGCTCTGTAGTTTGTGATCATGTGACTTTCTAACACTGAAGGCTTGGTTCTCTTATAGGTCAAGGTAGACCTGTTATCTTAAGCTGCAACAGGGCCATTAAATAAAACAACAATGCTTTTACGTATATTTTCCATCCAATCATGCTGGGCCTCTGCTATCAGCTTAACAAGCAGTAAAAGGTGCTTTTTATTACACCGAACCAAACTGTGTCTGTAATAAAGTAATGTTTAATCAGACATAGAGCCATTATTATGATTACTGACTTTGTGTCTAAAAGCAGGTTTTGTTTTGTACTTCTATTGGAACTTTTTAATACTGTAAAAAAAAACTCTTCATAATTGTACTGGAATTTATACAGTTATTTATACATTATTTATCAAAATGTGAAAACATAAAAGTTGGAATCTTTGCACTTAAAACGGACAATAGGAGAGGAAGAAAAAAGCCGACAAGAGGAAAAAAAAAATGACCACATACTGACTGAAAATGAGAAATGGACTCATTGTGAAACTTCCAACAGGTTTTTATATGATAAAGAAGTTAAATCAGGAATCTTTGCTGTGTTTTTTACAGGAAATCACAGAACTTGCTATTAGCTCATGCTAAGCTGCATAAAAATACTTTATGCCCATGCATTTTACTGGTATGTTTTTTATTTTTTTTATCTATTAACAAGCCTTCCAACTATAAAAAAGGGAAAAATGCTTATACTGACTGACTTAAGCTTGGCAAAAAAACTTTATCTACACTTTAGCTTTTCTGCTACATGTTGAGAGTTTTTTAGAAAATGTCAAGCAGAGTTACATAAAAAAACAGAATTACTATAAAATGAAATAAACTGCCATAAATTAAACATGACAATATAATGAGCCTATAGAAAATATCATGATTACCACAGCTAGCCATCTAGCTACTATTAGCTAGATGGCTAACATTTAGATTCTAGCTAAATGCTAGCTAACATTTAGAATATTTTCATCCTACTGTACTTATCATTTTATCAATCTAAAAGTACATTTTTTGTTGCTTTCATATAGTTACTTTAGGTACAATAAATTTTTTCTAATCATACAAATCAGGTATATAGTTACACAAAAGATGCAGTATTATATGTCTATCTTTCATGTAGATACTCTAAGCTCCCTGATAAAGTACCACCAAGGTTTATTCATTAAGCAATTAGTCTATATCTCACTATATTGTTCTTCCTGTTTGCTAATTTTCCAGTAAAATCAAGCCTGATAAAAACTCTACTACTTTTTATCTCTAGCTGCGTAAAAATGTCAAACGCTCACAGATTTACAACATGATTATATCCCTAATTAGCACTGGGTGAACCTTTTCAGCTTTGGTTTGAATGAAACACAGAAATTGGAAGTTCTAGAGTCCAGCTTTGACAGCTGCTGAAGCTAATTCTCCATTCAGCGCCTCTAAAACCCTGCTCCGCCAGACTGATGCGATGTGGTTGGAGCGCATCTGTCAAATCCCAAACAGGAGATGTAACATAATGGAAACGTGGCATTTATGTTTGCTTTATGGTTCACTTTGAGGGAGATTAGAGAGATATGATGTCTCCATCTGCCACTGTTGTTGCCACTGCTTCCTGGATGTTTTATTCACTGTGCTAAAGGACAGAGGTGGGACCAAGTCATTACTTTCCGTGTCTCAAACTTTACAGGTTACAAGTCGACTCATAATGCAAGAGTAACAAGTGGTCTAAATTTTAAGTCGGTAATAATGCATACAAAGATATCTCTTAAAGACTGATTAACATCTTATTTTTTGCTATAAATATTGTGGTTGTTTATTTTATTTTAATGAGAGTATCAAGTGTATTCAAGTCAAGTCATCTAGTCAGAGGGAACAGTTCTACTAAAGGAGGAGTTCTGAAATCTCAATCACTTGAACCTGTCCTTCTCACCCTCCAAACTTGAACTTGCTGTTCTCTCCGAGGAAAACCTCCTTCTGTCTCCTGCGGTTGGAGCTGCGGCCGCAGGTCACCATGGCAACAAAGCCGGCCGCTATCAGAGTAAGGCAAGTCAACACGTCCACCTTCATTTTTCACAGGTCTCCCTGCCAAATCCGACACAACTGCAGCATCCCAGCCGCTCCCTGCTCCACCTCCAGGAATCGACAGCCAGACCATCCACGCTCAGGGCCAGAGGTTCTGGTCCAACATCCCACAGCGGCTGGTCGTCTCCTCCTCTGCGGAGCCCCTGGTTGAAAGGGAAACTTCACAGCAGGGCAAAGACATGAGGGAACCTTGGAGGCATGTTCTCAGATATCTCCCTCTTCTGAAATCTCCTTCTTCTCTGTCCACTCCTCTTCACTCTGCTTGTGAATCTGCCTGCTCTGTCTCCAGTTCTGTTGTTCTATCTCTGATTAAAATTGATATGAATCTATTCCTCGTGGAGATAGAGGAATGACACTAATTCCACCCAAATCCTCTTATCCACAGCCACAGCAATCTTTCACTAACCTACAAACACTCGCTCTCTCTCCCTCACTTTCATCAGTATTCAGGATTTTCTCAGTGGGACAATGAAAAACCAGGCACCTGCCAGGATTATTTGAGCTCTGCTAACACCTTCAGCACATGCCTTTGTGTGAGTGTGCATGCATATAGAGGTTGGTTAATAAATCAGGGCTGCGGGAGCCGCTCAAAGATCCTTTGGGTTTTAATCCAAGTAGAAGTAGAGCAAAATGAGTCCAATGCAGCCTCACCTGTGGCTCTGCTACGTTAAAACCTGTGGAAAAATTCAACCCACTGACACACTGATCAATCCGTGTTTTACCCACTTTAATGAGACAGTGCTTTATGATATAAACAACTTGAGAATTTTTTCTCAACATATCACTCTTTCTGTGTTCCTTAACTCTATCAGAGCCACTGCGCATAAAAGAAGATGGACCAGAATCTGAAAACCTGATGGACGAACCAACTGAAAATCAGAAGAAAACAGAAACACAGTTTACACAGAAGTTATGGCCAATGATTGTCCTTAAACAATCATACAGAGGAGTTCTGGTGAAAAGAGGGCCGCCTGCGGTTCCTGCTCAGCTCCCCCTCCCATCCTCACCACATTTTACAGAGGAACCATTCAGAGCGTGCTGACAAGCTGCATCTCAATGTGGTCTGCTGGCTGCACTGCTGCAGACTGGAAGGCTTTCCAAAGAGCGGTGAAGAAAAGAAAATCACGGGGACTTGTCTTGTGTGTGTGACCCACAGAGGGTCGCCATATATCAGAGCCACTGTCTGCCAGTGATCTGCTGGCCTCTGGTAGAAGGTTCCGGAGCAGAACCACCAGATTCTGCAACAGTTTCAGTCCCCAGACCGTTGAACAGTCAATAACAGGCCTTCACATATAAACAAACACACAAATCTACCCCTACGCCCTCGGGTGAGTTTTCTGTTGTACTTTGCGACAAACAACAATGCAACAACTATTTATGTAAATATACTGTGAAGTAATTGTATTCTCTACATTTCTCCATTGTTTTTATGTTCTTGTTCATTTTTTAGGTTATTTGTTTTCCGTATCCGTCTGTCCATTTGTTTGTCTGTCTGTTGGTCGTTATGGCAACAGTGTCATGGTTTTGGTTATGTTGTGCTTTACTTTGCTCCTTGTTTTCTAGTTTTATTGGTTTAATTCCTATTTCGTTGTAGTTTCTAGTTTTATGTTATTTCTCTGTTTTTTCTGTTGTCCTCTGTTGCCCTCTTGTGTGTGTTCCTTTCCCCTTGGCTCCCTCGTTGTCTCCTCACACCTGCTCCTTGTCAGCTCGTTAGCCCTGCCATTGTCTC